ATCTAAATAAAACTGATAATTGGAAAATCATACATATGCTCTCAACTTGTTCATAGGGCAATACTACATAAAACAAAGAAGTAAAATCAGTATGAAAGGGATCAAGTTTTTCTTTGCATGGTTATAATACATTGTCAGTATCAGTTATCTTCAGTTCTATCACCTTAATAGTAATCTCAAGTTGATCTATAGATTTGAACCTTGTTCAAAATCTTATCAGTCTTTTTGTAGAAACTGGCAGGATGATTCTAAAATTTAAGTGGAAATACAAAGCTAAAAATCCAAAACAATTTTGAAAGAGATTAATACATTTGGAGGACTTTACTTTCTGAATTCAAGACTTATAAAGCTACAGTAATTAAGACAGTATAGTATTGGCATGAAGACAGGTATATAAATCAATGAGACACAATAAATAGTTAAGAAATAGATGCTTATATAGAGGGCCAATGGATTTTCAATTAAAGTGCCAAGGAAATTTGGAGAGTGAACTTTCCAATAAATGGTGCTTGAACACATGTATACCCATCTTCAAAAAATGAATGTGAAACATTCCTTCACAGCTAAATGAAAATTAACTCAAAATGGAAAAAGGAAATACAATGGTAAACATAAGTGGATAATGATAGTTTCAGAGAACAAAATCACACTATCTTACTGATTTTCAAATATATACAGAATTAAAATCCTAGACAAAAATGATATAAAATCCAAACAGGATAAATATTGTTAAAGTATTCTAAGTTTGTGTCATTATTGAGGAATTGGTAAAGTTATAATCAAGGATGCAGGGTGAAATTTTTATAGTAACCAATAAAAGATACAAAGATAATTAAAAACTATTAGTTATTTAAAGGAGTAAATGGGGTTATTTAAAATATTTGATAAAGTCAAAACAAGGCAAGAAAAGAGAGAAGTAATGTTAAAACAGGTGGTTCCCATAGAAAAAATACAGACATACTAGTCATTGAATTAAATGTACTAAAAACTAATTCCACTGGATTAAAACAACAAAAACCTGTATAATGGTTACAAGTGATATGATGTGCACATAAAGACACACAAAGTTTGAAAGTAAAAGAGAGTAATATTTACCATTCCTTCTTGCCAAAAAAAGCTTGTGTAGCTAAATTAATGACAAATAAAACAGACTTCCAGGCAAGAAGCACATTTCTTAATGATAATCTACCAGAAAGTATAAAACCTGTAAGATAATACACTCAGGTAATACATCAGGGAAGATACAACAATTCTAAATCTGTATGTACTAGTAATATACTTCAAAATACATAAAGCAAAAACTGATAGAAATAAAGAAGATACAAGGCCACAACCATACTCATAGACACTAATTAACTTCCCTAAATAGCTTTTAGAATAGTAGACATAAAAAATATATAGAAAATCTGAACAGTTTTAGAACAGCAGACACAAATATCATAGAATATATAGAAAATCTGAACAACACAATTAACAAATGGGACCTGTTTGAAATGTGACAATTTTGGAATGTGCATTCTTCTGGGTCCACGTGATCATTTATGAAAGTAAGCCATAGGCTTAGCATAATGCAAGTCTCAATTTCTAAAGATTGTGCTTTCTGAAAGTACAATTCAGAGTGTGCTTTCTGAAACAGTGGAATTCGACTCAATTATAAATCAATTAAAAAATATAACTAGAAAATTATCAACAGTTTGGAAATTAAACACATTAAAATGGATTCAGCTTTAACATCATTCTCATTCACATTTCACTAAGCTTTCTTTAGTGGATAAAGACGGATGGAGTTACACAGCATGATTCAGGAGTTACTAGTAATTTGGATTCAACTGTAACTATTCCATAACTAGAAATCCAGACATTTCCATGGGAGTATTGGTGGAACATTTAACACATACTTATTGAGAATCTTCCATGTGTCAGGCACTGTCACAGTCTCCATAATAAGTGAGTTTATGTCCAAACACACAAATAAGATAATCTGATAGTTTTGGTGCTATGAGGAAAAAATAAAACTAGGTGTTGGAAAATGTACCTGTGGAAGGAAAGGGATGTTACTTTATATCTGTCCAGGAAGGCCTTGCCCAGGAGATGAGTCCTCAGTGTTATGAAGATCCCTGTCATATCATCTAAGTAAATAGCCGTCCATGTGGAGGGTTTTATAATATTCAGACCCTAGACAAAGACAAGCTCAGCCTGTTTATGGATGGTGTGACTAGAACAGTGAATGAAACATAAAAGATTAGATAGAAGAGAGGAAGAGCAGGTCACACACGATTTTGTAGGCCACAATACAGTATTTGGATTTATTCTAAATATTGGAAAGCCCTGGGAGGGATTAAAGAAGAAAAAAGATTATATCAGATTTATATTTTTAAATTATCAGTTGGACTTTCAGAGTTTTCTGTAATAAAGCATGACAGCAAGCTATTCCAATATTGCAATATTCCATGGAGAGTTGATGGGAGTCAGGTGATATGGTCGGACTTGTGTATATCAGACCCCTGTGTGGGATAGTATATCAATGTGTGTGGTAGGAAAAGCACTGATAACATCTCATCAATGAAAAGCCAACATTCTCTATGGCTACAAAAACTAATATTTCCATATACTGTTGTTGAAGAGTTTATCAGCTTGGCCTACAAAATATGTTTAATATTAACAAATTAGATAATATATAACATAAAATAACTGAAACATCCCTTGCTCCAAAGATATTTTTTTAGGACAGATACAAATACACAGCTATTTCAGAAGGAGAGAGAAGAAATAGAATCAAGTAACCAACAGCAGGAAAGATTTTAAGTAAGAACCATAACTGCTTGTTACCGGCCAATATCAAGTACAGCAGGTGAATCCAGAACACAGAATTGCAAGAAAAGTTTGTGTCTTAAGCCAAGTTTGTCTCTTAAATTAATTTAAGAGAATTAATTCAGGTGGTCCAATCAGCAGAATTGTGAACATAGCCAAGGCAAAGAGAGCCTGTATACACAGCCTTGCAAGGCTGGTATTCATACAGAAGAAATGATCAGTGTTGAAATATTCAAATTTAAAAATTTGAATTGTTCTCTCATAAAAAGAAGAGGGGAAGAAAAGAAGGGAGAGAAATTAAAGCTACTATTAAAAGGCAGAATCATTAGCTACTAGTTTGGGAGCTCTTGTGCAAAGGTTTTATAAAGCTGCTAACAGAAATAACAACATATTCAAAAGAATGGATAAAAAGTGACAGTGTTTACTTAATAACTTTTTTTTTATTTAGTAACATTAAAATAAATTCCTAACTATTTCAAAATTATAAAAGTTTTCCCCAAATTTGGATAAGGCCCATGTACTCATGTCCAAAGGATCTGACCAACCTGCAGATATGAAATAGTCATACAAAAAGCAGGTTTTAAAAATTGACTCAGTATCTGTAAATGTTACCATGTTTCACAAGATTCTAGAGTAACACATATTTTCTAAATTTTAACACTGCCTATATTTGAAAAACAAATGACAATGGAAGAATCAAATAGATGGTAGGTGATAAATTATCTGATTTATAAATCACAGAGGCACCCAAGCAACTAAATATTGCTAACACATTTTTTGTTATTTTTCTAACTAAAAACAAAATTGATTTTAGTAAAAAATCAAGCAATGAATTGTAGCAGTACTGAATGTATGGGGAAACTATGATCCTGCTAGATGGCAAAAAACAACTAGTGTAACAGTGCCTGAAACAAGAGGGTCAGATCAAAACAGCCTTCAACACTGCGTCATGGTAGACCTCACGTATAGCAGTGATTTTCAGAAATGTGTATTTTGGCAAGTCACAGCTGTTTTATGTCTTTGAAGAGCAATGCATAAGTATATATGACATGTGCAGATGTTTTGCATAACCATGCATAGTTCCACAGTTAATATCTAAACATTGGCCATTAGATTAATCTGAAAGGGGCTAGGACTCAGACATCACAAGAAATGGCTTCCTATCTAAGGAAAATATATTTAACGGTGAAAAATGAGATGCTGGAGATTTACCAACTCAGGATAACTTTGTTATTAGAGTTGAGAAGTAAAACTTGTATTAATCTTTAAAATATGTAGACAGTGTATAATATTTAACATTTCGTTGCATATGTTTCCTGTTACAGACATATGTCTTAAAACTACAAGTAATGTGGTCAAATCTATGCTTATCCTGTTACCTATGTAGGATCTTTTTTATTATTCATGGTCACAATTATTTTCAGCATTTTCCAAATACATTTTTAATTAAAAATGTTTTATTTGTTAATTAAGTTTGTACTTCGTTCTAATCATCAAAAAAAACTATTATAACAAGAGTGCTTAAATATCCCTATAAATTTTGATGTTTTCATCAATAATTACTAATTCTCCACTCGAAATAAAGAAGAATATTTCATATTATACTTGCTCTATGTAAATTTAATTCAATTATTCCATTTATTAAATAAGTTCTAATGACTAATTAGGTCTTTTAGTTTTTACACAATTAAGGCTCTATTCTTAAACTAAGTCAAAACCTAAAATGAACAAAAGAGATTAGACAGATTTTTTTCCCCAAAGTCAGATAAGTTTCAAGTAGATTTCTTCATTCCTTTAAATTGTATTTATCATTACAAATGGGAAAATCAAAATATCTCCTTGTAAGAAATATTTTCTACAAAAAATAGAGCTGTCAGCAAATGAATAATTATGTATTTTATAATAAAACCTAGAAAAACCTATGGATAGAGAAATACAAGTTAGGATACATTAAGTTAATTTTTTTCTTAAAGTTAACATTTTAAATTTAACTACCACATAAAAAATTATGCTAAAAAATTTCCTTCATTAATAAAGTTCTTTGATCTTTCAGTCAAGAACATATAGTTTTTTAAAAGGCCAGATTTGGAGAACTAATTATTGCAAGTAGATATAATACTGCATGCTGCTTGAATTAGGAATGTATCTTAGTAGAGTGGGATGGAAATATACTGTACCTTAATTCCTACCTGGGTAAAGAAGGGTTCATAAATCTCAACTCCTTTATCAGATCCTTGTAGTAACACCTCCTGGCCACGTCGCCAGCTATACCGAACAGGTGGGTTAGAATTGGCAACACACCGGAGGAACACTGTTCTCTCATAGTAAAATTGTTCTTTAGCTTCACCTATACTTTGATGAACAGTTACTACTGGATCATCCAAATCTAGAAAGAAAATAAAAAAACAACTGAGAGACAATGTTGTGAGTTACATGGCTTGCGAAGTATTGCATATACAAAACCTACACAAAGATGCATTTTCCTAATTGATTTTATTGCTTATCACTACTCATTTTTTATTTTCATTGAACTCATTTACAGGGAATTGAACTCATTTACAGGGAAATTTCCAATGATAGTAGGTAAAGACAAGTAATAGTTATTTCTTAAGATCTGTTTGTTTGATAGTACAAATGAATTTTAATGTTTCCAAAACCTTGCCAACAACATCATAAAACAGCTCCAAGAGAGAGATTCAAGTTCAGAACCCTTAAATTCAAGAGATAGCTAAAACAATGAAACAGTGATGGAGAAAAAAATGTCAAACAGCTCAATTGACTCTTTCCCTTAACAGATTTCTTTTCCCAATTATTTATAATTGTATTAAATATAATCAAATAATCAGTTTTATAAATTATTATCATTTTTGTAAGAAAATGTGATGTTGTAATGGGTTGTGGTTTTCCTTCATCTCAGATTTTATATATTACATTTGCTAATTGGAAATGTGCTAACAAGGTACTATTAAAATGCATAAGATTTATATTACTGAACATTGGAACTAAATTCTTGCCCTTTTACATGTATCCTAAAGAAGGGATCATCAAACAGCATGTAGCAAACACTTGCTGGGAAAAAACAATTTGTAAATAGCTTGAACTTTGTGGTTTATACAGTCTTTACCTCAACTACTCAATTCTATTATTTTACTGTGAAAGCAGATGAAGAGTCAAAGACAATAGGTGAATCAATGAAGGATGAATGTTTCTGAATTCTAGTAGAACTTTACTGACAGATGAAGGTGCCCCAGCCGCATTTGGCTCATGGCCATAGTCTGCCATAGATTGCCAACACCTGATATACCATAACCTAGGTTCCTTTGTTAAGAGAAAAGGAATTAAGAAGGCACTTACTTTAAAACAATACCAATATTGTATATTTGATAGTTGCTAAGAGAGTAGGTCTTAAAAGTTTTCATTACAAGAAAAAGAGTGGTAACTATGCATGGTGATGGATATTAACTGAATTTATTGTGATCATTTCACAATATATACAAACATCAAATTATGTTTTATACCTGAAATTATTATGTTAATTGTATCTCAATAGAAAACATGGGGAAAATAAACTATCACCACCACCAAGATCTTGGTTCCATGTGCATGTATAAACTTGGTATATACTTATTAAGTGTGATGCAAACATGTGCTGTACTTAAATATTAACTTCACATAGTTTTACCCCTTTTAGTTTTATAACTCTGAAAGTTTACTTAACCTTTGTGGTCTTAAATTTCCCTATTGATAAAATGGAAATAATAATGGTACCATATTATTAAGACTGTTGGAGGACTCAATGAGATAATCTATTAAGCCTTGGGGACATTGTAAATGCTCAATAAAAGTTAGCCTTTACTATTATTAGTAGTAGTACCATCACCATCATCTCTATTGAAGTTTCATTTAAACTTCCATTAATTCTGTGCTGTTTCATCACCTTTATCTCACCATTTCACAGTGCATTCAACTCTTATTTTAAATAGGTAAAAATGTTACTTTCCCATTTGTTCAGGCAATCAAATGTTTATACATGACACTTTTATGTGGAGCCTGAAAAGAAGGTATTTTTAGAAGCATAAGAATACTAAGGCATGTGAACATATGCTATACTACATACTTAAAAAACATTGTTCCTTAGAAAATATTGTTTTTGATGTGTTAAAATAATAAAAAGCCAATAAAAGCAGTGAAGTAATAGCTGTTCTAAGGAATCAAAGGAAAGAACAGAATCCCAAATTTCCCCAGTTTTAAAAGTTTTTTTAGAACGTGAATTGCTTGACAGCCCTACTTATATTCTAGTTTTGCAACATTCTGAGGCTTTTTTTTTTTCTTCCAATATTAGAATCTTTTCACAGCTACCTCAAAGGCCTCTAATTTTAGTAGTGTAGATTTACAGAACAACTGCTGCTTCCTGGTAAAGTCTGAGGAACTTTCAGTTTAAATTCACTCTATTAGCTGTACAGGGATACATGCTGTCTGATTTTAACAGTTGGAATACTTAGGGATACAAGCATCAGTATCAGGAAATGTTTAAAGGTCTTTAAAATCTATCAAATATTTGCTTATCTGTTGGTTAGTCCTTCATATAAAATCAAATCCTACAGGGATCGATTAGCTGAATTCAGCCTTAGTGCATTAAAAAAAAAAGGCACTGTGAGTCAATTGTAAACAATTTTTTTTTCTTTTACAAAACAATTTTAGTCATAGTCTCATTTACAAGTATTTCAAATATTTAAAAATTTGAAACCAGGGAGTTTAGGAAAATAACAGAATTGGATGCTAATCAGTGTAATGGTGGTGACTCTCTATGGACTTCAAATAGTTAATAACACTGTACTTGCCAACATCCATATTGATGCACCCCTAGTCCTTTTCTTTTTAGGTAGCAGTTTCAATAGTCTCAGTCAGGAATAGACCAGACCTGAACAGTCTAACATGCTCTTCCCTGATCTAGATGAGTTTTGGGTCCTTGGCTTTCTGAGAATCTAATTCTGTGATGATGGCTTGCTGAACACTGTACTGGCAGAATTATCTATTGGATTCACCCATGTTTAGAAATTTCTATGTCATAAAACTTCTAAGCATTTTTTAGATTTAAAAACAAACATGCCAAAAACAGGTTTCTTTCAGACAAGTCAAATAATGACATATCTAAAAAATTTATTTCATGTGTATGTATACACATATATATACATACATACATGATACATAGTTCAATACACATACATACCACTTAAAATATTATGTGTAATGTATACCCTGTTGTGGATAAAATGAGAGTTCCTGTGGCCAGGATTCTCATCTGGCCCTGGTTGACTAGCTCACTGCACACTGGTGGGCAATACATGGCTTTTGACTCTATATAAAGAGCTCTACTCAGTGCTCTGGGCGCGACATGGTGGCAGGGCTGCAAGACTGCAGGAGAGCAGAGCAGAGGCTGGAGTGGTGGCAGTGCCGAGGACAGAGTCCCAGAGGATGGCTGTGTGGGATGGCTGTGCAGAGAGGACCAGAGGACAGCTGTGCAGACAGAGGGACCCAGAGGCAGAGACTGGCTTGCTGCATACAGATTTGCTCTGAATGAATGGGATTCTAGTAACTGACCTGCCACCTGGAAATAAAGTTGGGTATAACCCTTTCACACCCAAGAACGTCTGCTGTCAATTTTCTTTGGTCACACTGAATCCATAGTGAACTTGTCCGGGGTTGAAACCCATTGGCAAGAAACCTATATATTACTAAAAACATGGAATATGTGTATTTGCCTTAGTCTGGGTTTCTTGGAAAAGAGACTCTAAGACAGGGATATGTGTGGAGGGAGTATATTGAGAAGTACCTTCCAGATCAACACTTGGTGGGGATAGAAGAACATAGGATTGCTGAAGAGGAGAGGTGAAACTACAGTGTAGCCACAACAAAGGTCTCAGTAGCTCTAGAGAAATGCTAGAGCCATGATGTGTCCTCTGAACTGTCCTGCTCTAAGGCAAGAGAACGATATCATTATACACTCAACCTCCCCACCAGTCAGTCCTGTGTGTGTGCTGCTCCAGACTAGGGGCATGGCCTTAGGAGGGGCATCTCTGTTTGGCTTAGAGAAATTTCTAAAGAAGAATTTAGATGATACCCAACAGCTACCAAAACTCACAGCAGCTGGAGGAAAGAGTGCTTCGGTCCTGAGGAAGGGATCTGTCTCACAGACTATAGCATCCACTTAGATCCACTTCTAGATATGATGATTTGCTCTTTCTGCAAAAAGCTACTCCTGGTTTCTGGCTAGTCACCTCTCCTAGGAAAACTGTCAAAAGAACTGTGATGGAATGATTCACCATCTCCTTCCACCATTACCATTTAAATTGCTCTCATCCTGGGCTAGTACATCATTTGGTGTGAGTGGCTTACCTAGTGAGGTTACCAAACCTTTGTCACTGAGGATTTTGAGTCTTTGGTCACCATGTTCTTCTCAAGCCATTACTGATGCACTTATCTGTTTACCACCAAAACTAATCAAGAGAATACCAAGAATATATTCAGTGGATTAACTGGGTGCCAAACACTGTAACACAGTCCTGCCTCCAGCTGACCGTGTGGGCCAGTCTCTCCTGCCAGGATGGTGACTTCCCTTGTCTGCCACTTCTTGACATACAAAGCCTAAAGTAACTGCATAGCAGTTTGGCTTGAAGATTAATGGAACTCTTGCTGGGTCACTTAACAAAAGCTTCTTCTCCTTCTGAGAACTAGGACTTCTCAACCGGTAGAGTGCAGAGTTACAGGAAGGGAAGCAGGGATGCAGAGATTCCTCAAGTGAGTCATTAGATTCAATGGTAGTAAGTGGGGTTACTCTTAGGTTTTGAACATATGTATTCTACAGAAAAAAAAGCATCATCTAATAATGGTCATTGATTTAGGATTTATACTGCATGTTGGAGGACAGAATCATTTTCTTATCAGATAACATCTCTCTAAGACTCAGATTCCACCACCAAAGGTCACTCTATTGCTCTAGTAGGTTGGCATTATTAGGTAGTGTAAAATATGATATGATCCCAGAAAATCAATGGCAATGTTTCCACTACCACATCTTCAATACTGTAAAATGTGCTCTGGTCCCAGAAGTGGTTACATAGTATACTATATTAAGAATTCTAAAGAACATTTATCTTGGATAGGGCAACTGCTGGCTGAATGAACAGAAATATCCATACCCAGAATACATGTCAAATTCAGTCAAGGTGATGCACCATCACTTTCAGGGTTAAAAAAATAAAGTCTAGGGAGGCAGAGCCAGGATGGCGGCGTGAGTAGAGCAGTGGAAATCTCCTCCCAAAAACACATAGAGCTATGAAAATATAACAAAGAAAAATCTTCCTAAAATAGAGACCACAG